GGCACTTTAGGCTGGGATCTGAGATGTGAATATCAGCCTTGGAGGGTACTTCAGTGATAATCTTTGTCTAATGTTGTCATGGCAAGTGTATTCTACAAAGGAAAATGATTGACTTTTGCACAGCAGAATATCACAAGTCACCAGCAGTTTCTTTTCGCCAACGTTGATGCCAAGCAAATGAATGGCTGCATATCATCAAGCCCGATTAATAAGCAGGTTGAGATTCTGAACTTTCCATTGATGCCAAGCTGCATATTTCCGCGTCTCGGATGTAATATAGACACTACTATCTACTGATGGAAATTGCACGTACAGGCAGTGTGTGTGTCCCTGCAACGGTGATTAAGACTTCAGCCAGCTACTTAAACAGAACCCTTTGTAGCTAACAACACACATCACACAGCTGGAAACTGGACTAGATTGTGTCATTCACTGTAAATACAGTTTAATCAATACACAACCGTGATATATTTCAATACTAACGATATTAACACAAAGTCGCATTTTAAGTGCAAAGGCAGAACGTAATATTGCCGGTACTATTCAGCCAACCATTGAGACTTGGTTTTTCAATTTGTTCTCCAAAGTATTATTAATGATTGAAAATTGATGTGTAGTATCATTAGAGGGTGATACAGGGACAAAGTGAGTGATGATAGGAATAACAGAGGGAGAACGGGTGCATCGAGAAAAAGATGATGGCGGGTAAATGGAGAAGTAACCCCCACGAGAGCCTGGCAGTCGCGCCACAGTGATCAATTGTAATGTAAGCATACAATTACCCTATAATTGACATGTACAATTAATTGTATTCATGAAACGTGTTTTGGCCGAGGTGGCATTTTGATGAAGATCATTGGATGTAATTTGCCCACTCAACTCAACATGTCTGGCTAGGTTCAGAGATTTTGCACCAGGCATGAGGATGAATCTATTGGAAGTGAGGATGCAGAGTTGCCGGTCGACACACGATGTTCTGTAGACAGTAAAGCTCTAGAAAGGTCTGTGAAGGAGGACAAGTTTTAAAAAGAATTCTAACCTTCCTGAAATAGATTAGCTGCCACAGACAGACGCTGCCATTTATTTCCTAAGTAGGGAGGTTATTACACCAACCTACATGTCCATCTGGAGGAAAAATATTCAAGTCACTTCACACGGAACCGATCATGAAGATTGGGTCCATTTTGTTTAATTCTGATCACAAATCGTTATTTGTTCTGTTGCAAATGTTTTTACAAAACTTGCAGCTTGAATAAGCAATATATAAGAAATGTGATCTAAATTACAAATTATGGTTTATTTGGACTTTTTGCAAAATTGAAGAAAAAAACATTGACAAAGCTAACGATCAGAGTTATAAGATGGTTTTGATGGATTCATATGGAGCAAGAGAAAGGCTTCCCTTGAGTCAAGTAATAATGCTGAGTGAAGCGGAATGAATTAACTAGTTGGGTTGGTACGGGAGACGTCATGGTACAACCGATACTGTTAGGCCCCGAAACAAAGATATAAAATGTCCTGCTTGATTGAGTTGAATTGTGCAACGAACCAGCAGTAGCACATGCAAGATTTGTATTTTATTGATAGTTATTCCATTTTGGTCCCAAACAGGAAATTTTGCGTGCTATTATTGGCCACCGGGGGACCGACATGCCATTATCACAGACTTATTGTTTGGGGCATGATTGACAGCTTGGGCGCGACTGAAATAGGTTAGGTGAAATCTGCGCACATTACGTCATTCATGGCCTTCACGACACTGTCTCTCGAAGCTGCCTGTTGCCCAGACAGCCTCAGAGAACCCCGACCAGTTGCACTGTTATGCCATTTAGTAATCTGATGATAAAGCAATAAACTAAAGAATTGAAGCCCTCAATAAGAACAGGGTTGCTTTTCATTGAAGTGGTTGTGAAGAAGTGTTGTTAGGATGATTTGGATTTGATAAGATTCCTCATTCCTGGACCAAATGTTTGGGTAGGATTGTATTGTTAGGTGATTAGGCTGAATTTATTGTTGTACTTATTATTAATGTTGGATAGAGCAGTATAGTGTTCACTTTTCTGAACTTTGTAATTGGAAGAAATGCAATATCCAGGATTTTATTAGTATTTCCTTTATGCTGTATATCAGTCAGAGAAAGACATCTTGATTTCAATAAAACTGATTGTATAAACTATCCATTATCAGCAATTGCATTCTCCATGAGCACCTTCCCCAAACTTTTTGTCCTAACAGCCTGCTTTTTCTAGTTTTAAAACTGTTCCAAGACATCTTGAAGCATGGATGTATTTGAAGCATTTGCTCTAATGGTACCTTCTGCTGTTTAAAATTTTTCAATTTCAATATTTTTTGTGTTTCTATGGCAACGTTTTGATGGAGAGTGGTGTTGGTTTCCAGGGCAAATCTACAGTGTCATCTTTAGTGTTTGAATTTGGCTTGAGATTCCTTGTCATTACCCCCAGTGGTTCCTAGATTCAAATACTTTAACTCTTTCAAAACAGTCAACCAGTCTCATGCATATATTTTGGCATTAAACATTGTTTCTGAGCCGAGGTGTCATTTGGCTTACATTACACATGATCACTTGAAAAGATGTAACTTTGATGTAAGTTTGACAACTTTTAGATATATTTTTGTTGATTTTGTTTATAATGTATTTAAAGATTTGCTTGAAACGTCTTTATTTTGCTCTTTGACATGTTTGATATGGACCCGTTGTCAAAACGTGTCCAAGAAAGAAAAAAGGAATTCCAATAACATTGCGGGAAATAGTGAATAAATTTTGATCTCTCGATAAAATATGATGAATTGAAATGAAATACATATTTTAGACATTGTGAAAAGTGATAGTTTTAATAAATGAATGATATGACAGGTAGGTTAATAAAATTATACATTATTTTGACATGGCTACGGTCTGGCCTGTGTACCGGCCTGTGTTGTTGAAAGAGGTAAGAAAAAACCTCAAGGTCCAGGACTTCCCTTAATTTTTCAAATCCTCCACTTGGTGCTTGTATTTATCAAGCAAAGTAAACCCTTGTGCTATAATTTCATTGCATACTTTGCAAAATTTGTTACCGTATTCGACGTAATAAGCGCTCAGGGCGCTCTCAAAATTAGAAATAGGGGGCTCTTACTAGAATATTATTTTAGTGGAAAAAACTGAGTTGAAAGATAAATATCGTTATTTATGCTATTTATTAATGTACGACAGATATATTTTTCCATAATTCAATTACCCATAATTAAGGGTGCATATAACACCTGAGTGCTTATTATACGCGAATAAATAAGTCTAGTGTACATTGATCAATTGGAAGGTGTGCTAATTGGGATTGTTCACTAGTCAATATCTTAGCAAATGTCACCAAGGGCGCTTATTACGTCAAATACGGTAACTGGAAATAGTGTTTCAAGAGCAGATCGTTGAGACTATTGTATTCAAACTCATAACAAGTAATGCCATTACCTATTACGAAATTTTGCCCTTTTGATCATTTCTTTTCCCTCCCAATATACCAAATGATTTCTGAAGAGGGTTCATGTTTTAAAAATTGTGCATTGGCAATGTATCTCATCGAGATGTCACTTCACACAGCAAGCCGTTCCTCTTTGCCGTGGTCAATGCAGGTCATTTGCAGTGGTTTCCTGTCAATGGAAGCGGATGTTGTTTTCATCCCCTGACATGTCGTCCTCTACCCACAGTAGTGCAGTGACATGGCCTCGTCTGTCTTTGCCTTCACTACGGATTTATCAGACTGGATTAATCGAGATTCAGAGGAGACATGATTCCTCACGACATACTCATAATATCATTTGTCAAGCGTGAGACTTTACCAATTTATTCTTTCCTGCATTGGCCAGAGGACATTTCGCATACAACAAAAATAAGCTGGATAAGTTATTTCTTTGTCTTTGTTGAAATTAGCTTGTCCACCCACTGAACTGCAAGCTTCTTTGACTAATGTGAGGCTTTTCTTTAGGAAATGAGTTCCAAAATGCAAAATGGACCAAAGAGTTAATAACATGTCTTATTTCACATGTAGACAGGCAATTTAAGCTGATATTTTTTCTCCCAATTTTTATGTCATTTAGTGAGTCAATGTTGTAAAAAAGGCTTGCATTATCACAGGCAAAATACTGCTGACTTGTGTAAAATTATATCCACTTGCCCTCACTCACTCACTCACTCACTCGAGCGGTCGGGTAGCCTAGTGGTTAAAGCGTTCGCTCGTCACGCCGAAGACTCTGGGTTCGATTCCCGACATGGGTACAATGTGTGAAGCCCATTTCTGGTGTCCCCGCTGTGATATTGCTGGAATATTGCTAAAAGCGGCGTAAAACCATGCTCGCTCGCTCACTCACTCACTCACTCACTCACTCACTCACTCACTCACTCACTCACTCACTCACTCACTCACTCACTCACTCACTCACTCACTCACTCACTCACTCACTCACTCACTCACGCTTAGGGAAAGAAATTAACCAAGAAAGTCTGAGCCTGAAGAGTAATAACATATAGCAATAGCCCTCAAACTGTTTGAGCTTGTCGTAACAGGCGACTAACAGCTTCAGGTGGTCAGGCTCACTGACTCGGTCGATGCATGTCATCGATCCCAATTGCGTGGATCGATGCTCATGATATCAATCACTGGATTGTCTGGTCCAGACTCGATTATTTACAGACCACCGTCATATAGCTGGAATATTGCTGAGAGCAGCATTAACCAACCAACCAACCAAACTGTTTGAATTTCTACCAGCAGTCAGGATGCCTTTAACATGAGTGAAACTAGTCCAGGGCTCCAGGCTAGTGCTAATTTCTATCCCTGCACATGCCCACACATGCATACCTAAACAGGCAGTAGATGCTTCACAAGGCCTCTGTTGTGGCTGTTACAGATGATAGTAGTGTCATTCTCTACATGGTTTATTAACATCATAAGCCTTTGATTCAATTTATCTCTCCTCCTAATGTGATAAATCTCATGTTCCAGATTACATTGATCCATGACCGGAGCGGTGGAAAACCACGAGGATATGCTTTCATCGAGTATGAACATGAACGAGACATGCATTGTGAGTATGACTGCAGCTATTTTCCATTTTCCCTTTGGGAGGCACCATTAATACTTCAGATTCCCTTACATATAGGATTCCATCCATTTGTCAGTCTGTCAGTCTATCAGTCTAAGTAGAGATGGATTAATGTGGATTATATCCCAGGAGAGTATTTCAAGGGAAGATAACTCTGAGTTGCCACACAAATTTACAGTTATTTTTTAAATAAACAAATCTGTCATTGACACTCTCATTGTTTCAACTTCTACCATAAAGGTCAATGGGCAATCCAGAAAGTGATTTTGATCTTTTTTTAGTCGTGCTGATCAGTGTCGGGATAAAGGTCTTGTCTTCTCCCTGCTATGACTAAACAATATCTCTCTCTCTCTCTCTCTCTCACTCTCACACACACACACACACACACACACACACACACACACACACACACACACACACACACACACACACAATAATCTTCAACACGATGTTTAACCTAACCTTGCCGATACTTCACACTGTACTACTTTCAGGACCCGTGTATATCCGGGTTAGAAAAGGTCTTTAGCAACTCGTGCTTGTCACAAGAGGCCACTAACAGGCGTTATACAATAAACAAAGCTTCTTTCAGCTGGACAGATAAAGTCCACATAGCTGGAATATTGCTGACAAACAAACAAATCAGTGAGGATCAACTGTTGCAATGTGTGATCTGGTTGATTATGTCATTGTACCCAACAGCGTAGATCGTTTGTCATGTCATCAACCACTGGTTTTCCTGGCCCAGATTTAACAGATTCGATGTCGCAGGCAGAAGTAATATAGCTTGGATATTGCTGAATGCAGCTGCATAAACCAAACTCCATTCATTGACTATTCCATGCTTGGAGTCGGCTGATCTCATGAATGGCTCCTTGTTGATCAGACTGCTGGGCCGCCCATGTTGGTCTCTGGCCTTGTAAAATTGTAAATCAATTAGAGGGTTAGCTCCATGACAGTGCTGTGGAGTTATTGCCCCTTGTCCTATTCTGATGCATTTACATCAAACTCCAGCCCCCCATACACCTATCGACAATACCACACAGAATTTCCTATCATTTCTCATCAGACACGGAAATGTTTCACGTGAAGTAATAGGGTTTGCAAACAATTCGGATCCTAAGTATAATTCTCCTTATTTACGAGAATAAAATGATTGGAGCATCCTGTGTCTGGATGCGGCTCTTGATTACACAAAATCACTTCTTCATAGAAATTGTTTCCGGTTAGTCGAATACTACAAAGCAAGGTTGTTTTGTATGTTTAAAAAGAAATTATTTCCTAGTAGGTAGTTCTGTCACAAATAAGACTACAAAGAGGAGACATTTTTATATTATGAAACGGATAAATACAGTCAGCAACTTTTTTCCATCAAAGAGAAAAATAAATTGTATCACATTGAGAAAAAATGTAAAAAGTTTTTAGTTTTTATGTTATAATTTCAGAATAAAAATAGAAATTTGAAATTTTCCTGTTCCTAAATGGGAAATGGTTTGTATATCAAAATTTGCAAACAGATATGAAATGCGAGTTTTTTTGACATTTCTAATGGAAGGTTTAAGTTATAAGAAAGTGCTATTTCCGGTACAGGACCACCTGCTTGTTTCAACAAATTATGCAACAGATCATCTTGACAGATGCCAGACACAGAAATAGAGTAGTGGAAATCAATAACGCTCGATCACGGCCCATGTGTTGCCTCGATCAATGACAATGATCGTTAGAACTACCATAGTCGTCATATTAGTCGCCCAGGGTTCATGAAAAATGTGCAAGGGTGACTGCTCCTGAAGAGATGTCCGTTTGCTATAAAACAACATATGCTACAGACGGGAAGGAGATCTATTGCTTCAGGACAATTTTATTTTGTTTTCAAAACATGTGCAGAATTGTTATTGGAACAGGTGCTTTATATGTTGAATACAGTATTCTGCTTATAGAAGGTTAGGGAAACAGGTTTCATCAAGGTGCAAGTCTTGGTAAGCAGTGATGTATTTATACAGGCAAGGATCGGAGGCAGCAGTTGGAAGTGCTTCTTAGACCTCCCCCAATTTGCTTAATTAATATCCTGTAGTTTTAACAACCAGGCAGTTACTTTCCGATTTAGCCAGTTTTGATGGATTAAACTTGTCAGCCTTTATGCTGCGGTAAATAAGGATGGGATATCAGGTTTTCCCCATTGCCATTGATGTAAGGGGAATTTTATCACAGGAATAGAAGTTGAGGTTGTTGGACAACATTTTATTTTCACGTAGGTTTGGTTGAATCAAACATTTATTGCCAGTCCGGGTTGTCCATTATAATCCAAATCAAGGGCTGTGCTTTAAAGATGAAACGTAAACCCTTCATCATCAACCTGAACTTGAAGCATTTACATTACAGTCTCTATGAAGTGGTAGAAAACAGCTTTAAAGACAGAGCAAGCTTAAGGCTAACAGAAACTTGATCATGTTTTGTGTGGAGTATTGCTCCAGCTAAAGAAATGCCACTATGATGTGTTGAAAAACATAATGAGTGAGCGAGCAAGCGAGCCCCACAGCCACACTCCATGTGATGGCATGTTCCGTGCAATATAGCATCAGTTAGGGGCGTTGGATGTAGCTAGGTTTGGCCTGCTACCTTGTTTCAGTGGGACGACAGGAGGTTCTGCCCACTCGTCACACAATGCAAAAGCTGAGGCAGATTTTTTAATCCAGCTGAATGATATGGCTACATTATCATTAAAGTGTATGGATGTTTCAGTTACCGATGCTGTGAAGTCAATTACGGTTGATATATTGCTTGAGGGATTTCTGCATTACTGCTTTTGTTCTACCGGATGAACTATATCAGCTATTGCAATGATATTTTTGGCGCAATATAATTACTGATGCAATTCGTTTATTTCTGTCGCTTGACAAACTCGTACTAGAAAAAGGGTATTGCACCTGCCTGTTAAACATCGGGAAGAATTTGAAGATGTCAAAACTATACCGGAATTTCATACATCATAATCTGTTGTCTGTCATTTTTTTGTTTCTTGAAATATTAAGTGTAAAATGTCCAGTTGACATGCAACAGGCTGAAAAAATGTTGTGAAGGAAAATAAATAAGTGTAACAAAAATTGAAAATTGAAAATAGTATTATCACATTGTTTGGAAGAACATTACCCCCAAATTGAATGACAGAATGTGGAGCTCTGTGTATTTCTGAACAGATTTCAGAGCTGATAATATTAATGAAGTTTTCTTAATTAAGGTATTGTATTATTCAATGCAATTTCAGCCAAGTATCATCAATCCGCCATCTCTACATTGTATGGTATAGACACTGAGTCTGGTTCCCTCTGGCATCATAATACCCTTCTTCCAGAAAACTGATTCTTGCTTGATGCAACATAGAATTAACGCCTGTTATCCCATATAGAACTAAGAACCCAGGGACTCATGGGAAAAGGCTGGGGTAATCACGTTTCAGATATTGTCTATTATGTTGAGTACCAATTATTGGTTCTTCGATAAAGATGGAATTTGTCAGGTTCGTCTGTCTGGCCCATTGCCAGACTTTAGCTGAGAATCAACTCGGTTACAAAAAGTGTGCCTTCGTAATTGATATTGTGCACCATGCTGGATTATTCTTTCAATGTGGTGGCCAGATCGGGAGTTTGGTGCTCTGGTGGGTGTCATCCAATGATGCACTTAAGTTTTTTGTCCCCTTGTATAAGGGTCCTATCTGCACCATGGTTCTGTTATGGCCCTGTCTTGCACCAAGGGTCTGTTTGGGTCCTGTCTTGCACAAAGGTTCTGTTTGGGTCCTGTCTTGCACCAAGGTTCTGTTTGGGTCCTGTCTTGCACCAAGGTTCTGTTATGGCCCTGTCTTGCACCAAGGTTCTGTTGGGTTCCTGTCATGCACCAAGGTTCTGTTTGGGTCCTGTCTTGCACCAAGGTTCTGTTATGGCCCTGTCTTGCACCAAGGTTCTGTTGGGTTCCTGTCATGCACCAAGGTTCTGTTTGGGTCCTGTCTTGCACCAAGGTTCTGTTATGGCCCTGTCTTGCACCAAGGTTCTGTTGCGTTCCTGTCATGCACCAAGGTTCTGTTTGGGTCCTGTCTTGCACCAAGGTTCTGTTATGGCCCTGTCTTGCACCAAGGTTCTGTTATGGCCCTGTCTTGCACCAAGGTTCTGTTATGGCCCTGTCTTGCACCAAGGTTCTGTTTGGTCCTGTCCTACACCAAGGTTTTGTGTAAGGGTCCTGTCATTTGTTATATAATGACTGTTGTATGTCTTTTTCAGCTTAGATTTAAATAGTTGTTGGATTTGCCATTGATTTATATCTTAATTCTTATGTAACCTTAAGCTTTAAGCACATTAGTACTGTCGATGGAAATGTTAAATTCTTGTTACATTGTTTATTGGAGGTAGTTGATTTAACGTGTGAAACAAGTCAACCCAAAGCCTGCATTCTGCACGACATATATATCCTGAGTGAGTGAGTGAGTGAGCAATAATCACCCACTCACTCACTATCAGCTATTTGTAACTCGTGCACATTCCAAACAGCTCCTTGCACAGTTCTGGAGATGCAACAGGTTTACAGGCACAGGCAAATATGCCACAGCTCCTTTGTGGATAGAATACGATACAAAAGAAGCAGAATGCTAATGTTTTCAAAATAATTATAGCATGAAATTGGCATTCTGGGATGGCTTTAGACCTCAATGACTTCAGATAGGGCAGTCCTCCCTAGTGCCTTTCAGCTTGAAATGTGGGTGTCGTTACAGCAAAGCTCTCATCACCTTGGCTGAATGAATGCTTTCTGCAGAGGGAAATGACATAATTTGTCGACCTATCTCTACACAACAGGCTGTGACGGAATATCCAATGTGCGCGCCAGTGACTGGAATTAGTAATACCCCAGTGTCTCCCCAGTAGCAGTAGCAGCAGCACTCGATGGCAGCGATCCTGCATCCCAGCATGTAAAGCTGATGCCAGCATCCTCCGTTA